AGATTAAGTAAAAAAACTAACTCCAATTATGAAAAAAAAAATAATTGCAAGCTATTTTTTCAAATTTCAAAATTTAGTAATTTTTAAATGGCTGTAACTAGTCAATTTGTAAAGATAATCATACTTTGTCTTAGAGTTTTGTAAAGCTCAAAGACTCTACTTTGAGAATATGAAACGGTTTTTTGGATAAAATTGCGTAAATTATGTGTAAATTCAATTTAAAACATAAAAGAATTTTTCCTGTGTTAAATAAATGGGAAACTAAAATAAAAATAGCGACCCCTTAGATTTGAGCTATAGGGCTCATGTTTGGCGAGGATTTTTTTACATCAAATAGAAACATTTGAGGGGGTAAGAGTTAGAAAAACAATTAAAAATTTTGTTTGGAGCACCCCACTCTGTACGTATCATACACCGTTAAGAAAATGTCACTGATTTTTGTAAATTATTTTTAAATATTAAGTCGGTCATACATTAAATTGAAATTTAAAAGTTTTAGCGATAGATTTTCTTGGTATACCCTGTATACCAATATCCTCGCATAGGTATTCATGTGTTAAATAATTTCTTTTCAGGAGCAGCTTATCAAACGAACGATGTATCGAGTAATTCAATAGCAAGTTTAAATAACACAAAAAATGACAAGTGCAGTCAAATGTATGTCTGCCCTCCCAATTTTCTTAGGATAAACCAAAACTGCTACTACTTCAGCACTGAGGCAGTTCCTTGGCGAACAGCCTTCGATGACTGTATCAAATTAAAAGGGACCCTTGCGATGATAAGAAACATAAACCAGGATAACAATATCAAAGGATTGTTGAAAAGGGTGCCTCTAGGTAAGAAAACTTGTAATATATATAAGTAATTGACAGCGTACCACCGTCTATGGATATATACAAATAACAAACATTTTATCGTAAATTAACTTAGGGGGTGTAATATTGATTTCAAATTTAAATAGGACCACCGTTAAGGTATTGCTTACTGAATCAAAAAAGAATATTAAAGTTGATTCAACAATCACGAAACATACGCTGAAAAATTGAATCGAATTGAGAACCTTCTTTTCTTAAAGTCACTTGAAAAATGAATTTCTTTTACAGGATGATACGAAATAGTAAGGGGTGGTGAAGAATCTTCCGATTTCTTATGTATAGGGGTCGAAAGGATCTACAATTTATAAAAAACATCTTATTTATTTATGGACGGCCTATAATTGTAATTCTTTTTTACTTTTTAATCACACAAATCCAATGAGAAAACGAAAACAATTTATGTTGTTTTTGCAATAAACCACCTCTTTGATAAATAGCAAATACAATATGAAATTATTTCTTAACTTGAACAGAGTCAGGCATAGTGGGTATAGTAGACATGCTATAATGCATTTACACAATCAGCTCGATTTATTTTTAGATAACCTAGAGGTTCTTTATTGTTTTAAAAGTAAAAGTTAATGAGTAAACAAACGTGTCACCTTCTAGCGGATGTGCTACCGCCTCATTCCCGACAGTAGCTAATAAAATTTAAGTTCTAAACTGTCTATTTTAAAACAATAAACACCACCCCGAATACAGCTCCGGTAATTTATGTCATCTAAATATTTTTATACAGTCTAAATTACCCACATAACTACATCCCGTATGCTCAAAAAGGTGTGAACTGTTTTGAAAAGATGGTATGCCGTTGTAAGGAAGGCTCCGTCTATTATTGTTATAGGCATAAGCAATTTGAAACTTAAAGCAATAGTATCCCCTTTGCAGATGATATAGCAGTATTAGCATCTAGCAAGGAGGACGTAGAGATAGCTTTAAATAAAATGGAAGTGGTATTGACAAAACGGTATTATATGAAAATAAATAAAAGTAAAAAAAAAATAGTGGCACGTAAGGGAAGTCACTTCTATGCTCACAAACGGTTAATTTAGAAATTCGGAAGAGATTGTTAAAGGTGTATATTTGGAGCGCGGCGTTGTACGGGTGTAAAACATGGACAGTGAGCGCGGCTGAAAAGAAAAGGTAAGAAGCCTTCGAAATGTGGTGTTATAGGTGAATGATGAGGATAACGTGGGTAGAAAAGGTTAGAAATGAAGAGGTATTAGAAAGAATAGGAGAACAGATGACTCTATGGAAGTCAATAAAAAATAGGCGAGATAGGTTGCTAGGTTGGTAGTCTCAAGCATGAAGGTCTGGTCAGAGACATATTAGAGGCAGAAACAAGAGTTAGGAGGGGTAGAGGTAGACCTAGGTTAGATTACTATTCGCAAATAGTTGTGTGATGTAGGATGTGAGTTGTTCTAGTTTTAGGGAAATGCCAAGTTTAGCTCAGGATAGGAAAGAGTCGAGGTACGTGTCCAGTCAGTCTTAGGACTGACGACCTTATGATGATGATGTAAGGCAAGAAAAAGTAGGGAAAGAGCGAATATAAAGATAGGACACGAAAAATTAGAAGTCGCTGATTTTAGATATCTAGCAAGTCAGATTAAAACAATCTATCCACCGATAAACACCGAATTCTGCGGACTCACCAAATACTCCTTGCAGACCCTAAATAATTTCTGATGTTTTCACACCTTTCCACAAAAAGAAAATTATTGCTCTTTGAGATTTTACTACATCTTCTATTGTTACAAAAACAGTACTATGAAAATGCGTTTATATCAGTCAATATTGCACTAGATAGTTACATAAACATGTCAAGACTTGTCTGGCACCAATTACATTGCCTATAAGGTTTGTGAAATTTAATTATAGCACAATTCCCAGAACTTTGGAAACATCCCTCGTAGTTAGCATATGCGTAGTTTTCCATGCACTAAAGTAAGCATTGACAAAATTCCGAATTGTTCCCTATTATAATGAGTCCTGGCGTTGTGAAATTTTTATGGTTGGCTATAACAGTAAAAATAAATTTCTTAGAAAGCACTTGCATAATTAAAATATATTAGTTAATACGCCTCTACAATTCTTTAATGTCCTAAATGTTTCAGTATAGTAAGCAATCGTAGCAGAATCCACGCAATTTCCTATTAATATCCCTAGACAAACATTTTCAGTCTCTCGCCAGTCTCTCAGAGTCTTTTAGAGTTTTTCAGCGTCTCTGAGAGCGTCTCTCACAGTCTCTCAGTTATTGCCTAGGTGTTTTTATGGATCTCTCACAGTCTTTGTATGAGAGACTCGAACGATAAAAATGTTATTTCAGAAATTCGAGTCTTTCACAGAAAGACTGAATGAATAAAACTGAAAAATTGAGAGACTTGAGTCTCTCATAGAAAGACTGGGATCTCTAAAATATGTTGAACTTAAAAAATTTTAAACATGTCTATCGAGACACCACTTATTGAGAGATTCGAGTCTCTCGTTCAGAGATTTGAATCTCTCGTTCAGAGACTGGATACGAAATGAGGATCTCTCTATGAGCGACTCGAGTCTCTCTCAGCGACACCAGAGAGACTCGATGAGAAACGGAGACTCGGGTCTCGCTTTCAAACACTCTGAGAGACTGAACCTTTTTATCTTGGGATGAACAACAAAACTGTTTAGTTTAGTAATAACAATTTACTTTTAACCATTTCAGCTAAAGACGAAAGATGGATAGGAGGTTTATACGACTGGACCAAAATGAACTGGAAATGGGGTAAAAACGCAAAGGAAATCAAGTATTTAGGTTTCGATGCGTCTGTATCGCAAGAGAAAGATCAGCTTCAGTGGAAATGTATCACACTGGATCCAATACTTGATTACAGGTAGGCCATAAATTGCGCATCTGCTACTGACATATTGAGCTTAACGATAAATATGCTTTAAGCAATAGACGGCAATTTATGTAGGCCAGGTGTGAATTCTTGTGTTACTAATGCTGAAATTTTACTGCCTTGTATAAGATTTACGTTCGTGTTCCATAGACAGCAATATTTATTGGGACGCGTAGCTTCGTCGGAAACTAAAGTTTCTTAATTAAATGTTTGTGGATGTGTGTCTAGACAAAATTAAGGCCGCATCTGACCTATTGGCAGTAATAAAAAAAAACTCGTTTCGTTTGTGGAGTAATAGCTTAGGACCTTAGAAGAATTATAATAATAACGTTTGATTATTTGAATCCGACATGCATTATTTTTACAGTAAATACAAACAAAAAGTTTTTGTTTAACATCATCGACGTTTGTGTAATCATTTAAGTGTCATTACAACAAGTATTCAGTCGTTAAAGCCATTTTTTAATTATATAGTGATTAAGATCTATCAAGAATGTATGAATTGTATAGGAAAACTCAGTAACTACAAAGGAAAATAAAATTAATAGCGGCTTCTTTTTCTTTTTTTTTTGAGACAAAACTGGTATTTTCAAAAACTTGCTATCCTCTTTTGTTTTCGAATTATGAACAAAAGTTAAAAATTTTGGATTTCGGCTACATGTCCATATCTCGATTGTTTGTAACATTAAAAGAAAACAATATTTACGTTCTTCAAGCACTTTTTTTACATAGAATACAGTGATGAGGGAAAAATTAAAAATTAATTTATAACATGTGTGGGGACAGAAATAAAGTAGTGTAAAATGTATACCTAATGACGGAGGAATTTTAAAAGTTTGTTTTGCGTTAAAATAAGTATTTAGCGTATTATACGGTTAGGGATTAGGGTAGATAGTTTGAGTCCAGTAACTTAGAATGTTGGTTGCCTGATGTTATTGTAGAAACTAAGAATTATGTTAAAGTATGAGTGAGCAAGAAGGAAGAGATGGTATGAATAAGCGTGAAAGAATACAGGTTAAGTGAGTAAAAGTGCGGGGAAGCGGGATAACCTAACCTAACCTAAATCAATAGTGCATAGCACTTCATAATCTCTAGCTTCTATATGACTTCTTCTTCTTCATCCCTTTAATAGGGAATTTTCCATACCTTTTAGGCAACTTAATAGTCACTTAATTCCAGAATATCAAAAATATGTATCTAGCCCCTATATGACTTCTTCTTCACCCATTTAAGAAGGAATTTTCCATCCCTTTTAGATATCTTAATAGTCGCTTAATTTCAGAAAGTCGAAAATCTCTAGCTTCCATATGACTTCTTCTTCATCCCTTTAAAAGGAAATTTTCCATCACTTTGAGGCATATTAATAGTCACTTAATTCCAGAAAGTCGAAAGGATCTAGCTTCTACATGACTTCTTTTTCATCCATTTAAGAGGGAATTTTCAATCCCTTTTCAGCATCTTCATAGTCATTTGACTCCAGAATGTCGAAAATCTCTGGCTTCTGTATTTCTTCTTCACCCCTTTAAGGGGGCATTTTCAAAAACCCCATAGAACGAAGTGGTTGCCCCTACCTAAAGTTTTCCTTGTCGGTAATGCGAAGTCAGTTTATTTTCAATTATAATAACTTTTTATTTCGATTAGAAGAGTTAAATATTTATTTATTTCGTTATCTAAACTAAAGAATTTTATAGAATATAATCAAAAGCCTAACATAACACTTAAAACTTTAAAACGGTATCATCATCATCATCATAGGGTCGTCAGTCCTAAGACTGGTTGGACACGCACCTCTACTCCTTCCTATCCTGAGCTAAACTTAGCATTTCCCTAAAACTAGGACAACCCACATCCTTAACTATTTTTCGAACAATAATCTAACCTAGGTCTACCTCTACCCCTCGTAACTCCTGTTTCTGCCTCTAATATGTCTCTGACTAGACCATCATGCCTGAGAATGTGTCCTACTAACCTATCCCGCCTATTTTTTATTGACTTCCATAGAGTGCTCTGTTCTCCTATTCTTTCTAATATCTCTTCATTTCTAACCGTTTCTACCCACGTTATCCTCATCATTCGCCTATAACACCACATTTCGAAGACTATTAAACTTTTCTTTTCCGCCGCGCCCACTGTCCATGTTTCGCACCCGTACAACGCTACGTTCCAAACATACACCTTCAACAACCTTTTTCGAATTTCTAAATTAACCGTTCGCGAGCATAGAAGTGACTTCTTTTTATTAAAAGCGACACGACCGTGGGCTATCTTCTACTTTATATCCCCACTACTCCTTCCGTCTTGACTTATCTGACTTCCTAGATATCTAAAATCAGCCACTTCTTCTAATTTTTCTTCTCCTATCTTTATATTCTTAAAACGGTATAAAATAATTGTTTTTGAACAAAAAAATTTTCATTTATTATCAACCTTATACATTTAGTTCCTATTAAATGAAGTCAATTTGTTGTTATGATGAAATCATTTCCGACATTCAAAATAATTTGATACTGCCGAGTGCCGTCAGTTAAATCGTTGCAGATGCCTTCAATTTATTTTCATTTGTTCCACTTGCGTTTACGACCACTGTTTCGTTTAGAATTAATTCCCTCGAAAATTTCTTTTGTATGAAAACCATCCACCAAGAATATTCAAGAATAATGACCCATAATTCGATTATCCTTTGCTATGTTAAAGTGATCTCGTTTTTACAGAATTGTTAAAGCTTTTAGTCCTTAATAATATATTTTATCATCTATCACAACCTTTGTCTCGTAAACAAAAAGAAAATGATTTTTATTATTAAGTTAGCTATGCATGTAGGTGATAAAACACAAAAAATTATTTAAAGTAATTACTGTTTTTAATTGTAAACAATGTACCTACCTACTTATATGGAACACGCCATGAGAGTGGGGAGTGCCAATACATAAAATGCACTTTAGAAAAGTGTTTGANTGTAATGAGAGAAAAAAATGGAATCCATAGTTTCTTTAGCTTTGCGTTCATCTAATAAGTTAAGTTTTTCGAATCGTTTTCTAATAATTTTGGATTATAGGCATTTATTAATACACCACAATCACTTGCAGTTTTCAGTTTTACACAGCTGGTGTACATCAATTTGATATTGCTTTGCGGGCTGTTTTGTTGTAGTTCATAGAATTTCGTTGTTTCTTGCTAAAGGTACGATAAGTGCTGATTCGGCAGATGCCGATATCCATTTAGAATTTCAAATGGACCATGACATTGAACTCGGAAAACAATATCGATCCAATATTTTAGATTTTCCATTTTCAAGGAGTTTAGAATTTTTTGGGCTCTCTTCAGTTAAAGAATTAGAAGGCATTCATGAAATGTCTCATTGTCCCCTTTTTAAGCTTCTAATACCTTCAAAAGCCATTGTGGGCAACTTTCATTCATCATTTTATATAATTTTTGATCGGTGATACTAGCAAAACTTTTAACGACAGAAATGTATTTATTTTACAAATAGAAAATAGAAATTAAAAAAGTATTTTAAATAAAATACAAAATGCTTTTCTCAAAAAAGTATTTAAACGCAAGATAAAAATAGGTAATTTTTTATTTTGTATTTGCATTTTAATGCAAGTATTTCAAATAAATCACATCTCTGCAAATAATATTACAAAGAGTATTACAATCTACCTTGAGAAACAGTTGTAGAAGGTGAAACCTAATTGTTGTTATTTCATTTTAAAATTTGTCAGTTTATATTAACAACTGGCTACTTAACTAATAAACATTACTCCAGCCTAACTTAAAGTTAATCTTTATATAGACATTTTCGGTTACGGAGGTGTAATAACAAATGTAATTTTATCCAATTTTTGAAAAAAGAATACGTTTATGTTTTTTTCTGTCTTACAGGTGGAACGCCCGATCTTGCTTTGAAAACAAACATTACATTTGTCAAACAAGGATAGCGAAGATACCGAAGTCAGAAAGGAAGAAGTTCATAAAGAAATTCAACGCAAATAAAAATAACAAAATGAATGAAGTATTGGCTCCCAATCTAACCGAAGATTTTCCAGAGGAACTGAAAACAAGCAGGAGATACAATTCCAATCTCCAAGATACTGCATTCGCCAGACGAAATGAAACTGTAGTCGACAGGCGTAGAGGAAAGAAGAATGGAGGCAAAAAGAAACGAAAAAATAAAAGAAATCTTCGATGTCCAGTCTACTATAATGGAACGAGATACGAAATGCCAGTAACAAAGTTCGGCAGAAAGAAAAGAAAAAACATAAAGTCAATTGAAAGCAATAGCGCTTCTGCAGAAAACTTAAAATCCGTTATTTATTACGAGAAGTTACCGAACGGACAGTCGGAACCCAGAGTTCTTACGGAAGAACTTTTTATCAGTTAAATGAGTGCTTGTGATTATCATTTATTGTTTTTATACATACATAGACAGTTCGTTCCGAACATTAAAAGCGACACGACCGTGGGCTATCTTCTACTTTATATCCCCACTACTCCTTCCGTCTTGACTTATCTGACTTCCTAGATNAATAAAAACCTATCAACTAGAATGAACATGTTCAATTTTTTTGTTGGATAATTAATATAAACTAATATAGAACAAAATTATAATCCATGATCACCTGTAATCATACGATTAATTCATTTATCTTATTATTATCATGTGTGCAGCCACCTGCACTACGTACTGAGAACCATTTTTGAAATTTGTAATATATAAAAATACAATACTGACTAATAGTTTGATTAAAAATTAATATGGAACAAAATTATAATCCATGATTACTTGTAATCATACGATTAATTCATTTATCTTATTATTATCATGTGTGCTGCCACCTGCACTACGTACTGAGAACCATTTTTGAAATTTGTAATATATAAAAATACAATACTGACTAATAGTTTGANTAATTTCTTTTCAGGAGCAGCTTATCAAACGAACGATGTATCGAGTAATTCAATAGCAAGTTTAAATAACACAAAAAATGACAAGTGCAGTCAAATGTATGTCTGCCCTCCCAATTTTCTTAGGATAAACCAAAACTGCTACTACTTCAGCACTGAGGCAGTTCCTTGGCGAACAGCCTTCGATGACTGTATCAAATTAAAAGGGACCCTTGCGATGATAAGAAACATAAACCAGGATAACAATATCAAAGGATTGTTGAAAAGGGTGCCTCTAGGTAAGAAAACTTGTAATATATATAAGTAATTGACAGCGTACCACCGTCTATGGATATATACAAATAACAAACATTTTATCGTAAATTAACTTAGGGGGTGTAATATTGATTTCAAATTTAAATAGGACCACCGTTAAGGTATTGCTTACTGAATCAAAAAAGAATATTAAAGTTGATTCAACAATCACGAAACATACGCTGAAAAATTGAATCGAATTGAGAACCTTCTTTTCTTAAAGTCACTTGAAAAATGAATTTCTTTTACAGGATGATACGAAATAGTAAGGGGTGGTGAAGAATCTTCCGATTTCTTATGTATAGGGGTCGAAAGGATCTACAATTTATAAAAAACATCTTATTTATTTATGGACGGCCTATAATTGTAATTCTTTTTTACTTTTTAATCACACAAATCCAATGAGAAAACGAAAACAATTTATGTTGTTTTTGCAATAAACCACCTCTTTGATAAATAGCAAATACAATATGAAATTATTTCTTAACTTGAACAGAGTCAGGCATAGTGGGTATAGTAGACATGCTATAATGCATTTACACAATCAGCTCGATTTATTTTTAGATAACCTAGAGGTTCTTTATTGTTTTAAAAGTAAAAGTTAATGAGTAAACAAACGTGTCACCTTCTAGCGGATGTGCTACCGCCTCATTCCCGACAGTAGCTAATAAAATTTAAGTTCTAAACTGTCTATTTTAAAACAATAAACACCACCCCGAATACAGCTCCGGTAATTTATGTCATCTAAATATTTTTATACAGTCTAAATTACCCACATAACTACATCCCGTATGCTCAAAAAGGTGTGAACTGTTTTGAAAAGATGGTATGCCGTTGTAAGGAAGGCTCCGTCTATTATTGTTATAGGCATAAGCAATTTGAAACTTAAAGCAATAGTATCCCCTTTGCAGATGATATAGCAGTATTAGCATCTAGCAAGGAGGACGTAGAGATAGCTTTAAATAAAATGGAAGTGGTATTGACAAAACGGTATTATATGAAAATAAATAAAAGTAAAAAAAAAATAGTGGCACGTAAGGGAAGTCACTTCTATGCTCACAAACGGTTAATTTAGAAATTCGGAAGAGATTGTTAAAGGTGTATATTTGGAGCGCGGCGTTGTACGGGTGTAAAACATGGACAGTGAGCGCGGCGGAAAAGAAAAGGTAAGAAGCCTTCGAAATGTGGTGTTATAGGTGAATGATGAGGATAACGTGGGTAGAAAAGGTTAGAAATGAAGAGGTATTAGAAAGAATAGGAGAACAGATGACTCTATGGAAGTCAATAAAAAATAGGCGAGATAGGTTGCTAGGTTGGTAGTCTCAAGCATGAAGGTCTGGTCAGAGACATATTAGAGGCAGAAACAAGAGTTAGGAGGGGTAGAGGTAGACCTAGGTTAGATTACTATTCGCAAATAGTTGTGTGATGTAGGATGTGAGTTGTTCTAGTTTTAGGGAAATGCCAAGTTTAGCTCAGGATAGGAAAGAGTCGAGGTACGTGTCCAGTCAGTCTTAGGACTGACGACCTTATGATGATGATGTAAGGCAAGAAAAAGTAGGGAAAGAGCGAATATAAAGATAGGACACGAAAAATTAGAAGTCGCTGATTTTAGATATCTAGCAAGTCAGATTAAAACAATCTATCCACCGATAAACACCGAATTCTGCGGACTCACCAAATACTCCTTGCAGACCCTAAATAATTTCTGATGTTTTCACACCTTTCCACAAAAAGAAAATTATTGCTCTTTGAGATTTTACTACATCTTCTATTGTTACAAAAACAGTACTATGAAAATGCGTTTATATCAGTCAATATTGCACTAGATAGTTACATAAACATGTCAAGACTTGTCTGGCACCAATTACATTGCCTATAAGGTTTGTGAAATTTAATTATAGCACAATTCCCAGAACTTTGGAAACATCCCTCGTAGTTAGCATATGCGTAGTTTTCCATGCACTAAAGTAAGCATTGACAAAATTCCGAATTGTTCCCTATTATAATGAGTCCTGGCGTTGTGAAATTTTTATGGTTGGCTATAACAGTAAAAATAAATTTCTTAGAAAGCACTTGCATAATTAAAATATATTAGTTAATACGCCTCTACAATTCTTTAATGTCCTAAATGTTTCAGTATAGTAAGCAATCGTAGCAGAATCCACGCAATTTCCTATTAATATCCCTAGACAAACATTTTCAGTCTCTCGCCAGTCTCTCAGAGTCTTTTAGAGTTTTTCAGCGTCTCTGAGAGCGTCTCTCACAGTCTCTCAGTTATTGCCTAGGTGTTTTTATGGATCTCTCACAGTCTTTGTATGAGAGACTCGAACGATAAAAATGTTATTTCAGAAATTCGAGTCTTTCACAGAAAGACTGAATGAATAAAACTGAAAAATTGAGAGACTTGAGTCTCTCATAGAAAGACTGGGATCTCTGAAATATGTTGAACTTAGAAAATTTTAAACATGTCTATCGAGACACCACTTATTGAGAGATTCGAGTCTCTCGTTCAGAGATTTGAATCTCTCGTTCAGAGACTGGATACGAAATGAGGATCTCTCTATGAGCGACTCGAGTCTCTCTCAGCGACACCAGAGAGACTCGATGAGAAACGGAGACTCGGGTCTCGCTTTCAAACACTCTGAGAGACTGAACCTTTTTATCTTGGGATGAACAACAAAACTGTTTAGTTTAGTAATAACAATTTACTTTTAACCATTTCAGCTAAAGACGAAAGATGGATAGGAGGTTTATACGACTGGACCAAAATGAACTGGAAATGGGGTAAAAACGCAAAGGAAATCAAGTATTTAGGTTTCGATGCGTCTGTATCGCAAGAGAAAGATCAGCTTCAGTGGAAATGTATCACACTGGATCCAATACTTGATTACAGGTAGGCCATAAATTGCGCATCTGCTACTGACATATTGAGCTTAACGATAAATATGCTTTAAGCAATAGACGGCAATTTATGTAGGCCAGGTGTGAATTCTTGTGTTACTAATGCTGAAATTTTACTGCCTTGTATAAGATTTACGTTCGTGTTCCATAGACAGCAATATTTATTGGGACGCGTAGCTTCGTCGGAAACTAAAGTTTCTTAATTAAATGTTTGTGGATGTGTGTCTAGACAAAATTAAGGCCGCATCTGACCTATTGGCAGTAATAAAAAAAAACTCGTTTCGTTTGTGGAGTAATAGCTTAGGACCTTAGAAGAATTATAATAATAACGTTTGATTATTTGAATCCGACATGCATTATTTTTACAGTAAATACAAACAAAAAGTTTTTGTTTAACATCATCGACGTTTGTGTAATCATTTAAGTGTCATTACAACAAGTATTCAGTCGTTAAAGCCATTTTTTAATTATATAGTGATTAAGATCTATCAAGAATGTATGAATTGTATAGGAAAACTCAGTAACTACAAAGGAAAATAAAATTAATAGCGGCTTCTTTTTCTTTTTTTTTTGAGACAAAACTGGTATTTTCAAAAACTTGCTATCCTCTTTTGTTTTCGAATTATGAACAAAAGTTAAAAATTTTGGATTTCGGCTACATGTCCATATCTCGATTGTTTGTAACATTAAAAGAAAACAATATTTACGTTCTTCAAGCACTTTTTTTACATAGAATACAGTGATGAGGGAAAAATTAAAAATTAATTTATAACATGTGTGGGGACAGAAATAAAGTAGA